TACATATTGCGTGGTCTGCCGAGTGACCATCTCAACTTCAGTCAGCTACTCGATCGCCGGTGTTGAGTGTTTGTAATTACATGAACCACACTTCAATTTGCAACTGCAGCTGCAGCTCTTGCAAGGGCTAGCTATATGCCCCCACTTTACATATATGGGATGTTCCAGGTGAAAAGTAACAATGTTTAATGCCGTGAGGGTTGAAACAAAGAATAGCAAAAAGCGTCGAAAGTGTGTTTAATCTAATGATCGATTCGGGTCTTGTGCTGTTTCAAGCCATTTACGATTAAGTCTGTCTATGCATATTTGAAAATTTGAGACCCAAACCCAATTAGATATTTGATTTGATTATCTTAGATTTAGATGATGTTTTTATGAAATCGAATTAAATTAGAATTTAATAATCGAATTTGGATTTACCTTCAAATAATTAATTTTTTATATCTTAAAAAAGTAAAGCAAAATCAGATTAAATCCGAATATGATCCAAGACCGTTGACATTTGAATTTCAAATTCGATCATATTTATGATACGAATTTCCATAATCAAATCTGAATCAGATTACAACGACTCTACTCCCTATCTATTACCCTCAAATTGTTCCTGCAACCATACACATGGAACACCTTGAGAACATTCCCATGATAAGGGAAATATTCCCTTGTGGGTAGCATACCCTAGCACGTTCCAAGGGTTAGACAGAAAAGAAGTCATGAGACATAACAAGGCAGCATCTGTGTCGTGTTATATCTTCTTTTTATATCTCTTTATCTTTATTTCTTCAATGCTTCCTTCCTTGCATATTGAAAAGATTAAAAAAAAAAGCCTCCTACAGCAAGGATAATCCTCACGCCAAACTTACTTTAGCTTCCAAAACTAGAATGTAATTCATTAGGCCCAGTTTGGAAGGAGTACAAACACAAATATATAGAGTGCAAAACTATGTATCTTGCATATATTTGTACTGTACATATTTGTATTTGTACTCCTAAACTGAGTCTTAGTGTGTTTGACTTGAAAAAATAAGATAAAGGAAGGGTTAGATAGGAAATTCTGTACAAATCTTGTATAGATTAATTTATCTCTTTTTCCTTCCTTTCCCTGTATTCTCTTTTAAACCAAACACAACCTAAGCCTCCGTTCATTTAGCGGTAAATAAGGGTGTCATGTGTCAATGGACCTGTTTTGGATTGGCTCCTGTTCAGTCCAAAATCAATTTGGACGGACCAACAAGACATATTGGATTAGACCAATCCGGTCCAAAATATTTATTAGATTGGATTGGACCTGGTCTGTCCATAATAAATTTATATTGGATTGGACTGGACTTAAGCCAATATCTGGTCTATTGATATAAGATAAGAATATAGGTGTCAATGCATCGGGCTTGGGTTAAAACCAATCTATATCAACACGAATTTGAACAGATTGGATAGTCGAGACATTGAATTGGACCATTCCAAAGTATTCATTGGATTGGATTGGACCTGGTCCATTTATAATGGACTCACATTGGACTGGATTGGATTGGACCAAATCCAATCCAATTGACACCCCTAGCGGAAAATAAGAGGAGGAAAGTTGGTCAATTGGTATCTCTTTCCAATTGACCAACTTTATAGTGTTCTTTTTGCATTAAGTGTTATCTAGGGAACATTTACCTAGGTAAATACACTTACTTGGGTATGTGAGAAATTTGTAAATGAATGAGGCGTTAAGTGTAAGAAAACATGTAGAGAAAGGTAGGGGTATTCATAGTTCGGTTAACCAAACCGTGTGCCTTCTTTTCAAACCGAACCGGTTTTTAGAGAAGCGGTAATCAAAATTGAACTGTAGCTGATCGGTTAACTGGTCGATCGATTTGATTCATTAGTTTTTTGGTTTTTCAATTTTCGTAATATTATATATGATAAACGATGTATAATAAATATAAGATATTATATTATAAATAATAAATAATAAATTTTCAATTCAATTTCATCGGTTTGGTTAGATTCAGTTTTTTTTTTTCGATTTTCTTACTCACCCTAGAAAAAGGAATTGAACCCTAAGGCCAAGAGGTGTTCTTCAATGTATATGATGCGTTATTTATTTATTATTTGTGTGATTGTAAGTTCCAAAAGCAATATGTGCCACGCCATGTTTGAAAAAAGCATTAATTAAATTTTAAAGCAAAAAAATGTAGAAAACATGTTCTCCGTTGTGTAGCGTATTTTTTGGTTTAGTGTGCTTAGCTTGGTTAGCTTGGTTGCACCCCTAGGTGGGCCGGGCCAGGCTTGGGCTACCTGAGACAGTAACCTAAGGTTAATTTTATAGCCCAAGCTCAGCCTAAAGCTTGAAAGATGGCGTCGAGAATGTGTAAAAACTTGATATTAGGTATCTTTGACTTGTAGACGTGCATAGCATGTGCTTGCAAATTAATGTAATAATATTGAAAATATAAAAAAAGAGTAAATTGTTGAAACCTTTCCTGAAGTTTTGGACTATTGTTAAAAGCTCTCGTAAAATTTGATAATTGCAGTCATCTCTTATGAGTTTTATGACACAATTTTAAGTAAACCCCCTAATCCTCTAAAAAGAGCGATGAAAATGTCCAAAATACCCATGGTTGAGGTGGTTTTTACAGAAAAAAACCACATAAGCTTTATGAAAACCAAAGGAGAATTCAAAATTATAGAGCGATTGATATGGAGGACAATTTTGGAAAAGAAATCAATTTCATAAAAGGGATTAGAAGGGTTTGGGGTAATGAACTTGGAAAATAAACATTTTGGTCAAAATAACTACATGCACATTTTGGACATTTTCATACCTCTTTTTGGAAAATTCTAAAATGGGTTTTGCTTGCAACTATATCTGAAAGTTTAGAGGTGATTGGAGGTTTTAGGCTTTCAACAACAACCAGAAACATGAGGGGAGGTTTTGAGATCAGATCGGCACTCCAAAGAAGGCACCCCATAGCACCTATCACCCATGTATGCATGGTGAGATGTGCGAGTCCAGATCACCTGCCAACAAAACACATTCCAACCCTCTACCAACATAATCTCACACTGCACATCTCATATATGGCAGATCCCACTTTTATGGTGGGTCCTAGTCTAATAGGGAGATGTGCGGTGTTAGATCAAGTTAGTAGAAAGTAGGGACGTGCGGTTTTGTTGGCAAAAGATCTCAAATCGAGATGTGCATATGGGGCACCCTTTGTAAAGCGCCAATGTGATATCGAAGGTTTCTACAAATTAAAAAAAGGGTCAAATACAAAACCCCCCCTGGAGTTTCTGACAATCATAAAAACTTCCCCTATAGTTTCATTTTAACAAATACCTCCTCTGAACTTTTGAGAAACTCAACAAAAATCTCCTTTCCGTCACTGTTCCGTATGAAAAACGATAGATTGATGAACCAGTTTTTTTTCTTGCCAAATATCCATTCTACCCTTTTATAAATTATTTTACATACAAAATTACTGAAATAATCCCATTTTAATTCAACAAAATAACATATTTCAGTAATTTTGTATGTAAAATTACTGAAATGATCGTTAAAAGAGGTTTTTGTTAAGTTAGAATGGGGTTATTTCAGTAATTTTGTATGTAAAATAATTTATAAAAGGGTAGAATGGGCATTTGGAAAAAACTGGTGCATCAATCTAATGTCTTCCGTCCGGAACAGTAAAAAAGGGAAGTTTTTATTGAGTTTCCCAAAAGTTTAGGGGAGGTATTTATTAAAATAAAACTATAAGGGGTTTATAATTGTTAGAAACTTCAAGGAGGTTTTAGCAATTCACCCAAAAAATTTTAAAGAAAACAAAAATGAAATGAATCTCCTTGCTTCGGACTAGGGCTGTTCACGGGTCGGGTTGGGTCGGTTTACTGGCATTTTTCCAACCGACCCGACTTAGCCGGTTTACCTAGAAGTGAAACCGAAACTGACCGAGTACTAAGTAAAATTGATTTGGTCAGTTTGAATCGATTTGGGTCAGTTTTGTGAGTGATTCTCTTGGTGTGAACGATAAAAAATTCAAGTCTAAAAAATCAAAGGCTGGATGCCTGGAAATTAAAAATGATTTGATGGATTAAAACTGATATTTTATATATAAGAAATTATATATATATAATATGTATATTTCTGAAATAAAGTTGAAATATATATATAATAATATATATCTAAATCGATTTGGATCAATTCAAATTCAGTTTTCACACATGAAAACCAAAATTAAACCGAACCAACGGTTTATGTTTTTTTGTAATCCGAAATCAACCGATGTTGAAGAAAAACCGACCAACTCGGATTGGATCAGACCGGGTTGATCGGTTTGGATCTTATTATGAACAGCACTATACGAGTTCCGAGTAAGGAGGCGCGTGAGTTTGACATGACGACGAGGATGATGATATGCTAAGCAAGTCATAGGAAAAATCGTTACTGCTTGCTCGAGACTCGAAAGGAAACTTCCTGCTGAGTGAGTAAAAAGTAGAGAGCAGGGCTGGCTACATAAGAGACTCCTCTCACTCTACTTCTCGACCCTAATCCGCCAGTAGTCAAAATGTTCAAATGAATATGTCTATATATATTTATTTATTTTTGGCACTAAAATGATTAATGAATGTTATAAAAAAGCAGAAAAGTTGAGCAACTTTAAAGAGTTCAGTTTAGACTTGTAATCTAAAGCACCACGAAGAAAGTAACAAGTAGGGACTAGGGAAGGAAGGGAGGAGTGAGGAGGTAAGTGGTGTAGTACGCCATGAAGATTCTTGGTTCCTACTTCCCCACCTTCCCACTTAATAAAATGGGTGCAGGGGATATTTGTTTTTCTTCGACCTCAACCTCAAGTGTTCAAGTGCCTTTACGCCTTTCCCTTTCCCTTTCCCTTTTGGTTTTTTCCTTGCATAAATCGATTTTTTTAATCAACAAACAAACAAAAAAACAAAACGAAAGCAGTTTGAGTTCGAAATATCAGGGAGCATGTAATTATAAATTTATAATCGAGACCAAAATAATAAAAAAGTAATTACAAATGAGATCAAAATAGTACAGCCGTTGGATTTTTAGTACGCTATTTCGCGGACTGCCCAGACAAAGAAAATATTTGAAAGCAGACCATCAGAGCAGGTGGAACTTGGTTGGGAGCAACAAGCCAACAACCCTACAAGCTCAGTGCTCAGATAATAATACCTTAACACGTGTTAACTCTAACGTGCTTAATTTTACATGAGAGCGTTCTCATTGACCTTCAGTCTTGACTCTTGAGTCTGGAGAGAGAGAGTGAGTGACCACGTCTCAAGTCTCAAGCTGTCAAGCATTAGTGGGACCAACTCAATAGCAGCGATCCCATCATATTTCTATACCTCATGTATATACTATTATTCAGTATTCTGTATTCGTATTCTCCCGTACTACTAGTTGGTACTATCAAAATTCTCCTCTTCCAGACTTCCAAGTTCTGAAGTTCCATCCCCCTCCGCCCTCCGGCCTCCCCCTGTGTTTTGTTTAGACTTTTTTTGAGGATTTCTCGCTATCTCTCTCTCTCTCTCTCTCTTGATGATGGAGTATATAGTAAATCGGATGGTCGACAATCGAGACGGCTCAACTAATTTGCAAGTGGGCCATAGAGCATTTATCCATCAGTAAGGTAGTTAGGCCCGTATATATATATACCATGTTTGCYGCTGTACCAGATCCGTCCATCCCATGCTCACATGACCCACGCCTCTTTGGAATTCATTTTGTTCGCCAAGGGTATATTCGTCTCTCACAACGCGCTTCAATCCGGGCGTCTTCGTTTGAAGACCGATGACTGACTCGAAGAGGAGGAGAGGATCGGTGACGATAAAAGCAAGCAACCAAGAACCTTCCTCTCCTCTTTCTCCTTYAATAAAATGACACCCCCTTCCTCCCACACTCCTACGCTCCCCAACGAAACCTCTTTCGCTCTCTCACACACACAGACACAAATACGCAGTTTCTCTCTCTCTCTCTCTCCCTTCTTCTTCTCAGAGCCCCCAAACCACACAAGTTCAGTGTCCATAACCATAAGCAACCTTGAAGAAATTAATGGGTAGCACACATCAGGAGCAGGTCTCCATGGATAATGGGTCTGGGTCTCGAACCTATGTGCATAAGAACTACGCCCTTAGCGGGAAGATAATGCTGAGCGCAATTGTCATACTGTTCGCCGTCGTACTGTTGATCGTCTGCCTCCATATCTACGCCCGTTGGTTACTCATAAGGTCCCGTAGGCGCCACAACATCCGCCGCAGCCGACACCGGACCCACATAGTCTTCACCACCTCCGACCCCGTCGCTTCCGCTTACACCGTTTCTCGGGGTCTTGACGCATCGGTTCTGAAAGCTCTCCCCATCTTCGTCTATTCCTCCGACACACACAAGGAAGTACTGGAATGCGCCGTGTGCCTATCCGAGTTCGAGGAGAACGAGAAGGGTCGTCTCCTCCCAAGATGCAAGCACAGCTTCCATATCGATTGCATAGATATGTGGTTCCACTCTCACTCTACTTGCCCACTTTGCCGAGCACCT